CAAAAGAAGGGGAATGGGACAGAATCTTCTGAGGGGATTGGGAGAAGGGGGAGGGGGAGGAAGCTGGTAGAAAGAGGGGGGGTGAGGATGAGGGGAGAGGAGGACATGGGGGAGCAGGAAGGTTGAGTCAGGGGAAGAATAGAGGGGAGCAGAATGAGAGATACCATAATTGAAGGAGCCATTATAGATTTAAAGAGAGATCTGACACTAGTGAGCTGTCCAGACACCTACAAGGATGACACCAACTGGCACTCTAACCAATAATGGAGAGGCTACTTTAAATGCCCTTCCCCGATATCGTGATTGATGACTTCCTTGTATGCCATCCTAGAGCCTTCATCCAGTGACTGAAGGAAGCAGAGGCAGACACCCACAGCTAAACTCTGAACTGAACTCCTGGAACCCAGTTGCAGAGAGGCAGGAATGATGAGCAAAGGGGTTAAGATTTGGCAGGTGAAACCCACAGAAACAGCTGACCTGAACAAGGGGGAGCTCATGGACCCCAGACTGATAGTTGAGAGGCCAGCATGGGACTTATCCAGACCCCCTGAACGTGGGTGTCAGTGAGGAGGCCTTGGCATTCTTTGGGGCCTCAGACAATAGATCAGCATTTATCCCTGACATCCACAAGTGAGCAAACACAGCACGCTGAAATGAACCTGTGGTTCTGGGTTACAGTGGGCAAAAACCAGTATGATCCAGTGACTATGTCAGTATGTCTGTGCAGAGTCAGACAGTTGCTAGATTTGTCTTCATCAAAAGGAAACAGGTTCTAGAGGAAATAGCTAATTCTAGATGTGGGAAAGAAAACGTAAAATGAACCTTGAGTGTTTTTCAGTGTCAGGAAATAATGGGGTGGAGATGTCGCTCAGCCGATAGAATGCCTCCCCTGTTTCATTGCATGCTCAATGTCCTCAATTAGATTTTCAATAAAACCCTAATGGTAATTCATGCTCATAATCTCAGTACCCAGGAGATGGAGTTGGAAAACAACTTCCTGGGTAGGAACAAGGGAGGATGTTCTAAGTGAAGGGGTCTCAGCCACCACCATGGTCAGCAGAATAATAATTGGTGGGAGGCAAGAAAGTAATTCAGTACAACATGACTCAGTAGGGGTGTTGATTCAAACTTCAGGACACTGACCTTGAGTAGTTTATTTTAGGCACATTTAAGCACAGCACAATTTGGTGAAAACTTTTCTGATGATAATTAACTCAATCCCATGTGCACAATAAAGCTTAAGATATGACTACATTGAAACCCTTTGTAAAGTACGGTGCCATTTTCCATAAAGATGTCTTCTATAGATTGGCTGTAGGTGACTTCCATATAGATTCTATAGGTTGACAAGCTCGGGATAAGTAAGGATCTGGGGGAGGATCCAGTGTGGTGCGACCAGATAGCACAAACATCACCAGGCTACTGAGCACATCCACTCCCAGCCTTCTGGGCAGATTACAGGTTATGTCTTATCCACTCCCAGCCTTCTGGGCAGATTACAGGTTATGTCTTATCCACTCCCAGCCTTCTGGGCAGATTACAGGTTATGTCTTATCCACTCCCAGCCTTCTGGGCAGGTTACAGGTTATGTGTCTTTTTCTCTGAAGGTAGAGCACTGTGTTTAACATTCCTGGTTCCCTTAGTGCTTCTCTGTGTCTCCCATACTGGAAAAGCATAAAATATTAAAACAGATGAAGAATATATGGATGTATTTGTTTGTCAAAGATATACATTTAAGGAGCTGGAGAGATTGTTCCGTGGTTAAGAGCACTTACTACTCTTCCTGAGGACCCATGGCAGTTCTCAGAACACACACGGTTGCTCAAAACTGTAATACTCCAGTTCCAGGAGGTGTAGCATCCCTCCCTGGCCTCTGAATGCAGACATGCATGCAGACAAAGCAAACATATAATTTTTTTTAAAATTAAGTACATTTGGTTGTAGCTTCATAAGCCAGAAGTGGTGACACACACCTTTAATTCCCACATTTGGGAGACAGAGGCAGGTGGATCTCTGTGAGTTTGAAGTCATCCTGGTCTATATAGGGAGTACTAGGACATCCAGAGCTAGAAAAACCCAGTCTTACAAAAAGAAAGGAAGGAAGGAAGGAAGGAAGGAAGGAAGGAAGGAAGGAAGGAAGGAAGGAAGGAAGATTTGTAGCTTGAGACTAAGAAGTGGTTCAGTGACTAAGAGCACTCACCACTCTTGCAGAGGACCCAGGGGTTTGGTTCCTATATTCAGTGGCTCACAATTGCCTGTAGCTCCAGAACTGAGGGACCCAGTGCCCTCTTGTGGGCTCTGCATGCAAGTGGTGCACATAGAGGCAAACAGACACACCCACATAAATTTAAATAAAAGAAAGGAAGGAAGTTTGGTGCTGGAGAGATGGCTTGGCAGTTAAGAGCACTGTTGTTCTTCCAGAGGACCTGAGTTCAATTCCCAGCACCCACACTGAGTTGTTCACAACAGCCTAATAACTCCAGCTCTAGGGGCACAGGGAGACTCAAATGGATGCCTCCAGCCTCCTTGCATACCTCTATGCACATGCACACACACACACACACACACATAATTAATAAAGTAATTCTTAACATGTAGATTTCAATGTATGCAAATCTGACTATACAAACAAAGGAACTAAAAATAAGCATGTATGGATTGACCGGGTAGGAAACATGTTAAGGCAATGAAGAAAGTTTAAAAGTGCCTAATAAGTAGTCGTTGAAGCTATGAAAAGTCTATTATATTGTTCAGTTTTGTGTGTATATTTACATATGTTGTATATTTTTCTATAATAAATACTTATTTTATAATAATAAAGTTAAATCGAGTGTAGTGGCAAATGCATATAATGCTAACACATGGCACTGCTTTTCAGTCCTGTGGAGGCTGGAAGATCAGTTCAGTGTTATCTTCATATGGTACATTTACATACATACAGGCAAAACACTTAAACACCTAAAATAAAAATAAATTAGTCTGAAAAACAACAACAAAGGGGCTGGAGAGATGGCTCAGCTGTTAAAGGCTAGGCTCACAACCAAAAACAACAACAAAGATCTTGGGTACCTTTTGGAATAGGCAAGGCCAAAGTTATAGAGAGCATGGGAGAGGCTAATTCATTTTTTACTGTTACACAAGTGTATTCATTATGTAATAGTTCATTGAGTTTTGCACATTTTTGTTTGCATGTTATACATTAATGAAAACTACAATATCGTATATTGTCACAAAAATTTCATGGCAGTTTATTAGAATAATGAAAGAATTTAGTGTTCTCTTAATGTTTACCTATCCCATCATCAGAAGGCAATCATCTCCAAATCCTAAACCTTAGGCAACCCCGTAGACTCAACAGTTGTTAGCTCAATTAAGTGGAAAGCTCTATATTTAATTTTAAGAAATCGTGTGTGTCTGGGAATGTGTCTGCATGGGAATGTGTAAGTGTGAGTGAAGGTGTCTAAAGAGTCCAGAAGAGGGTGTTCGGGTCCCCTGGGACTGGTGTTACAGAAGGTTATGAGCTTCCTGGTGTGGGTGCTAGGTACAGAACTCAGGTTCTCTGCTTCATGTACAAGCACACTCTTTACCAATGACACATCTCTCCAACCCCAACTTCTTCATTTTTTTTAATGATACAACTTTTCCTTGCTTCAATACCATGATGCTCACCAGACTCACAGGGAGAACAGTGTCCTTCACACAGCAGGATACTTGTGGAACTGGTTCAGTCAGGAGCAAAATCAGTAGGAAAGGCTTTGACCAAGAGTGTACTCCAAGGAAGTCACTCTGATTCTCCTTCAACTCCTCAGACATTGTTCTCTATCTAGTGAGATCAAGTAAATATTGCATAAACACAGGACATAGTTATTACAGAATAAGGTGAAACATTGTCAAGGATGAGAGTGAGCAAAGACTGCATTGGAAAATAGGCTTTTATACCACATACTGAAGTTTCTGGGGCAACTCTCCCAAGAGATTTCTATCCAGGAGACTGACAAGCTTATTTTGATTAATTTGTAAGAATGTGGTAATTGTGTGTCTTTGATGTCTTATTTATTTACTTTCAAGACAAGGTTTTACTATATATCTTGGCTGTATTGGAATTCTTTATATAAACCAGGTTGACCTGGAACTCACAGAAATCTGCCTGATTCCACCTCTTCAGTGCATGAACTAAGGATGTGGGCCGCCACACCCAGCCTTTGTGTTTGGTTTTATAACCTTTGAGGCAGTTTAAAATACCACACTTCTACCCAGAGCCTGAGGTATGGCTCAGGTCCTCTACTTTTTTTTTAAGTGAACAATTTTGAAGAAAGTTATAATGATATATAGGAAGCAGCCTTCCCTTAAGGAGCCTCAACAAGCAACTATCTTTCACGAAAAGTTTTACATTTTTGAGGAGAGGCAATTGCATCCATGCTTCCCCCTTTTGGTGTAGTGTTTTGAATGGTTTTCCTTATTTTAAGAGTGTCCATACACAAAAGATCTGATAACGCCTGTCTAGCTACGTAATAATTAGATCGTTTATTTTATGTGTATGAGTGTTTTGCCTGTAGATCTGTGCACACGTGTGCAGTGCCCACAGAGTCCAGAGAGGATCCTGGATCCCCGGGGCTGGTTGTGGGCCGCCATGTAAGTGCTGGAAGTTGAACCCGGATCCTCTGAAGAGCAACCAGTGCTCTTAACCACTGAGCCATGCCTCTAGCTCCACAAGATTTTTTTTTGGTATGGTTTGAGGGTCTCTCTGTGTAGCCCAGGGTGGCCTGAAACTCAGAGGTCTGTTCACCTGTCTTCTTGACGCTGGAATTAAAGGTGTGCCACCACGCCCACCAGGTTTTGTTTTGTTTTTTTTGCAGAAAGCAGTTGTTCCGTTCCTGGGTTTAGCCTCACAAAGCATTCACTTTAGAGCCTTGAAGTATTCCAAATGCAGCGATGTCACGGATGCCCAAGAACCTAAGACAATTTCCCACGCTCTGTCATCCCGGTAGTCTCCGCCTAACTTCCGGTCCTTTTCCTGCGCCGCCATCTTACTTCCGGTTTCCACGGGGGTGGGTTGTGGCCTCAGTCCTGGGACAGCCTGGTAGGACATCTACAGGTAGTCAGACGCCCGCCTTCTGGTGAGTACAGCCGGTTTCTGCCGGCTGGGGCGGGTGCTGTGCGGTGTGCGGACGGTGCGATCCCGGAGCCCTGTGCTGGGTTGAGCTGACGGCCTCTGTCGCCCTCGGTTCTGACCACTGTCACCGTGGGTCCTGACTGGCTGAGACTTCCCCTCCCTGATGCTGCAGGGAGACTTGTCCTCAGCCGTACCGTCTCCTCCCGTTCCTGACCACAGTACCACAACTGCTGTGTCTGGTGTCCCATTGTCTAGCAGTGACAGTGCTAGGGGCCTAGAGCATCCTGAGGTGTAGGGTGAGCCTGGGCTGGGGCATCTCGCGGTCTCCTCATCTAGAAGGCTCTGTGTTGTCTTCTGTGGAGAGTGCACAGTAATTGCACAGACTTTTACTGGGGACACATACACAAATATATATTCACCTCAGATGGGAACTTAGGAATGATCAAAGTAGACTCCATCGTGGTCCAACTTAGTGATCCCGCGAGTTTATTGAACTTATTTATAAAACGAGGATGGTTGACTCCAGACCACCAAGTCCCATCCCATTATGGATGGTGACATGGAAGCTACCACACTGAGCCCCATGTTCAGTTAATTTTCCACCTCCTGCGTACTGCAGATCCCTAGCAATGTGAGAAAGGTATCAGATGAAGGTCTGTAAACTCTCCTCCTCTTCTACTTTAAAGTGTAGCAGCTCCATTTCCACTATTGTAGAACTGTGGTTTTGGTTTATTTCATTGTTATGGCCCCCTCATCAATCTCTGCTCCAACATGGAGATAGCCCAGAGGAAAAAAACATAGCACAACGGTGATCAGTGAGTGGGCTGTATGGCACAATGTGGTTTCAGTTCCTGTGGAAACCTGCAAAATTGTGACTCCTGGATCCTATGGTAGTTGTACTTTTAGTTTCTTGAGAACCTTGATACTGTTGTAAAATTTAGATGCAGTAACAGGGCACGGTAATACAAAACTATAGCCCTAGCAAGATTTCATGGGAAACCTCATTTGAAAACTGTGTTTTTGCCACATTGAGGCCCTGCTGGCCAGAGCACATGAAAAAACAAAGCTAAGGGGCATCATGGGAGGAAGCTACACCCAGGCATGGACACCATAGGCAGGCTCTGGTTAAATAGTACTTTGAAGGTACTGCAATAAATAAGGGTCATGTTCACTTACAGGTACAGCCCTGGGCCAATATGTTTAGACTGTACAAAGCATGTTGTCTGTGAAACTTAAATATGTAAACCAAGAGGTTTGGATGGAATCCTCTGTGGTGCCTCTGCATTGACAGGAAAATAGGAAATCCTGCCCAAGTGGTTTCTATAATTTCTTTGACTACATCATGTTCATTAAACATCCTTAAAACTTTGCTGTATGAGGCCGGGCGGTAGTGGCACACGCCTTTAATCCCAGCACCTGGGAGGCAGAGGCAGGTGGATCTCTGTGAGTTCAAAACCAGCCTGGTCTGCAAGAGCTAGTTCCAGGACAGCCTCCAAAGCCACAGAGAAACCCTGTCTTAAAAAAAAAAAAACAAAACAAACAAACAAAAAAAAACAAAACTTTGCAGTATGTCTTCATGATATAGTCACTAAGCAAGCAGCAAATACTTGCACTAACCTATGGGTAAACTATAAGTTTACTCTCTAATTAATTGTGTTCCTTCCATTAGATCTGTTGTGGCAGTTCTCAGGTGTAAGAGACTGTTTCCACACAGGAAGTTTTTTGCTGTTTTCTAGGGTTTTTTTCCTCAGCAACTATGTAGAGATCTTTGTACATTGGGATTCACAAACAAGGCACAGCAAATGCCTGTTCACTTCTGTTTGCCTTCTTTTCCAGCTGTGATTGCAAGGTACTCCATGTGCCTTAGAAAGCGAGGGAAATGAACACAGTTGTGGTAAGTGGTGTGATTATTCCTTGTTTTGCATTGTGGTTTAAGAGCTTAGTGAGAGTTCCTTAATTAAAATTGGAATGGAGAAACAAGCACAAGACAAATATCCACAGACATAATAATATCTGATAAGGATAGAATCATGCAGTAAAGACTTTAGAGACATTTGAACTGTGACACTGGTTTTTCTTTTCTTTTTTGGGAGGTGGGGTCAAGACAGGGTTTCTTCATGTAGTCTTGGCTGTCCTGGCTCTCACTCTGCAGAGCAGGCAGCAGGCTGGTCTCAAACTCACAGAGATTCACTTGCCTCTTCCTCCCTAGTGTTGGTGGTTAAAGGCATACACCACCACCACCTGGCGTCACTAGTTTTTCTGGGTCCTGTGCCATTTGTTATAGAGTGTGGATTGACCCCAGGAAGACAATATGATCAGTTCTTGTGGCCTGTGACATGTAAACAGGCTTCATAGACACACGCACAATGATGTTTGCAATGCTTCACTCTCAACCCAGAGCTGAGCGTAACATTCACAGTTGTCAGAATTCTCACATGTGTTTCATCAGAATTTTAAATTATAGTCAAATGCTAGCACAATTTTCTAGCTGCCTTACTTGAAAATTTTGCCACATATGAAACTGCTGTCAGTAATCTCATGTGGAAATTCTTCCATTTCAAGTTTGGTGTGTGTGTGTGTGTGTGTGTGTAGATGTGGACAAATGTGAATGCATGAGTGTGCATAGGCATATGATGACCCAAGTTGATACTGGATGTCTTCCTTCATCACTCTATTTTATTTATGTGGCAGGGTCTCTCACTGACTAATTCTGGCTGCTCTAGTCAGCCTGCTTGCCCTGTTGATCCTTTGTCTCTGTCTCCTAAGTATTGGGGTTACATGCTGCCGCTCTACCTGCCTGGCTTTAATGTGGAATCTGCAGGTCAGGACTCTGGTCTTACACAGCAAGCATTTTATCCTCAACCCCCCTTTCAGTTCCGGCCACGACCTGCTGGTACTTACAGATGAGTATCCTCGTGTTTTGCTTTGTGTCCCTTCCATTCCACTGTAGACTTCAGTGTTGCAGGCCTCTGTGGTTTGACTTTCTTAACTATTTCTCTGTAACTTGTACCTTTCAGTCAGCTTTCAGATCATAAGTTTGATTCCTGTGTAGCTATGCAGAGGCACCTCAAGCTTCCATTGTCAAAATGAAAATGAAATCCTCCATTCTTTCCTCATATAGTATTAATAACAACATGCCAAATGGCCTTTATCCTACACTAAAAGGAGGAATTTCTTTCTTCCTTTCCTTCCTCCTCTCCCTCCCTTCTTTCCTTTCTTTTCCTGGACTTTCTTCTTCCCTCCCTGTCCTTTGCTCCCCGAGGTCTAATGTTATGAGTTACAGTTCCTGCTAACTTTGTTGTTCATTCTTGTTCCAGTGGCAGCATGCGATACTGTAGATGGTGAGGAAGTGTGGTTGTCTAAAGACAAGTAGATTCTTTCCTGCTCTCATTGGAACTGTCCATCTCTGCTAGGCTGGAAGGGTTAGTTCCTCAGTGGTGATGCCTGAGTGCTGATGAGCTGTACTGCTAGCAAGTGGGTGTGGTGCCTGAGTGCTGATGAGCTGTACTGCTAGCAAGTGGGTGTGGTGAAGGCCTTGAGAGTAAGTGGAGAAATCAGAAGTTAGTGGGGGGGGATACCATTTATGTATGAGTCATGAGAAAGGCACGCATAGCATAAGTAAAAATGAGAGCACACATCTGAATATTACATATTTTTGCTTTTGTATTTTTATTTCAAGTGTTCCTGTTTAGTTGGTAGACCATGCAAAGTTATCAGTTTCTAACTCAAACAGCACATGACTTTTAGTGAAACAACTCACTTCATAGGCAACAAGCATGTCATGAGCCCAGGCTCTTATAATTCACAGGTTTTGCCCTGGGCCCCACCCTCCTGAAGCCTCTACCCTGGTATAGAGTATGGGATTGACCCTGTAAAGACACACAATACAGAGCCAGTTAGATTTCCATCCCCACAGTTGTGGAGCAAAGTTCTCCACATTGACTCAGGGTCAGTGCCTGATATTTTTTTCACAGGCAGAAGCCAGAGTATAGGAATCAGCAGGTATAAATGGTTAGAGTACCACACACTCTTAACCTTCCCTGACCTACACAGTGGGTTCATGGTCAGCAGCTTGGAAGTAACATAGTTGGAAAATTGAAGCCAGACAGGAACATTGGCATACCTCTGTAAGTACTGGAAGGAACGAAGATGTATGTGTGCCCTTATAAACCTCACCAAAAGGTGGTCTCAGCAAAGGACTTAACAAGTAGAGTGCGAGGATTCGGCACACTTTGGTTTCTCTTCTAAGCAACCTCACACTCTGCTAACCTAAAACTCTTCACTGCAGAGGGCCAGTGCTTCTCCCAGGAGCCACAGACCTAGTTCTGTTGAGCTTGTGGGTCTGCAGCCTGGACAGTGTTCCTTTTGACCTGATCTGTACTCAGGAAGGAGGCAGAGTGCTGTGGAGGCTGGCGAGGCTGGTGACCAGGCTGTCATGAAGCACTAGGGGGCCTGGGGGAAGGTCTCTTCTGACCTTTGGAAACGTTCCACTCTCCTGAAAAGTTGTAGGTTCTGTTTTTTTCCTGTTTATGTCACCTGGCAAACACTGCTGTTACCATGCAAGCCTGCTAAGCCCTGCTGTCCACAAAACCTTCTGTCTCTATATCAGCTTCTTCCTCTGCTCTAGACTTGGAGTCCTGTTTGCTGACTTCTGCGACTTTATAATTGTTATTATTGCAAAAAATTGTTTTACTTTTCATATTTTAAAGGTTTATTTTATATGTATGAGTGTTTGCCTACATATATGTGGGTACAATGTGTGTGTCAGAGTCCCTGGAATTGAAGTTAGAAATAGTTGTGAATCATCATATGGATGCTAGGAACTGAATCCAGGTGCTTTGTAAGAGCAACAGTTCCTAAAATTATTTTTAACATTTATGTGTGTGTGTGGAGGGGGTGTGTAGGTCAGGAAACAACTTGGGAGTCAGTTCTTCCACCATTTGGGCTCAAGGGATCCAACTCATGTTTGGCAGGCTTGGCAGCAAACTCATTTACCAGTGGAGCCATTTCCAAGTCTTCTTTAGGAAAAGTTCCTAAAAAATAGAATCAAGGGAATTACAGCCTCCGTGGAAGATGCAACTATGATCCTATTGCTTATTAACCGTCACTCATTAATGGCTATGTCACAGTGTTCCCTTTAAGGGGTTTTGTACTACTTCCTGTGGCGTGCAGACCTTATAGAGATGTCATTGTACTCGTGGTTACAGTTTATGCCTAGGACATTTTCACTATAGTCAACAGGAGACCAGGAGCACAGAATGAGATCCAAGGTTCACCTTGTGGAAACTCCTGGCTGTCTTCTCTCAGTGGAGGCCTGTGTCATTAGCTCTTTGTTCAGACAACAGTGCCTGACAATAGCCACAGCCAGGTAGCAAGCAGTGACTCTCCTCCCACCCAATATTTGTCGTATTTCTTGGGGTTTGGTCATATACATGTCACTGACCACCATTGACTGCCCTTAGTCTCCTGCATATCAAGTTTCAGGTCAAGCTGATAGCACATGATCCAAGCCTGTCCTGACAAATGCCTGCCACCAGAAGCATAGAGACCGCACACCAGGCACAAAGGCTTAGGGAAGTAGACATTCATGCTAGATCTGAGCCCTGACCTCCCTTATCTGTGCAAAGGACTCAGTCTTCCTTCAGGAAACATTGACCCTCTGCTACATACATAGCTTGTGATATGTGAGCTGAGACTTATAGGTTTGGGGGTTTGTGTATTATATCATATATGTAAGCCTTTGACTTTGTGGGTATTTGTTCTGACCTTACATAACAGTAAATTCTCTAGTCACATATGTGTTACACCACCTGTATTGCCCTACTTATCACTGAGTTTCCAATATTTTCATCTGAGAGTGCACAGTTTTTTAAATCTTTTCATGTATATTATGTTTATATTGTATGTTCACACATATGTGCATGGATTTGTATGTCCAGATGTGAGTATATTCAAGTGTGTGAGCACCATGACATGTATATGAAGCTCAGAGAATGACCTCAGGGCTTGGCCCTAGACTTTCTCCTTTTAGAGACAGGGCCTCTTTGTTGTTTGCCATTATATGTAGCAGGCTAACTAGTTTTTGAGATTCTCCTGTTGTGGCTTCCCATCCTATTGTAGGTGCACAGAGGTTGCAGACATATGCCTCCATGCCAGTTTTACATGGATCTGGGGATTTCAACTAAGGTCCTCCCGATCGCATGACAAGTTATTTATGCACTGAGACATCTGTCCAGTCAAGGTTTTACATTACTGGAGTCCTTTCCCTTGGGATGGCCTTTGTTCCCTAAGTTAGATAAGACTGAAAGTGTATTCTGTAGTGGTTTATTTTACTGTTTTGACTCCTTTGGCTTTGGGGGGAGGGATCTGCCACCCAGCTCCCAAGTAGATCACATATGGAGGCTTACTCTTAGTTAATGCCTGGCCTTAGCTTGGCCTGTTTCTTGACAGCTTTTCTTAACTTATCCCATCTGCCTTTTGCCTCTGGACTTTTATCTCTCATTTCTGTAAATTTTACTTTCACTCTTACTCTGTGTCTGGATGGGTGTCCGAGTGGCTGACCCCTGACATCCTCCTCACCAGCTATGAAATCACATTGTGTGTCGCCTCTGTGCCCATGACATTATACTTTGTCCTTGTTTTACCACTTGAACTGCCTTCGTCTCTCCTGTCCCCACCGCCTTGCTGTTCTCCTTCCCCCTCAAATGGCCCCCTTGTCTAGTGTCGCCTGTCTGCCATTATTCCTCTTTGAGTCATCTTCATTCTCCCATTAGTTTTCTCTTCTTTCAGTGCACCTGCATATGTGTATATGGTATGCATTTAATTCTAGATTCCATATATGACAAAAAATGTGGCTATGGTCTTTCTGATTCTGGCTTACTTCAACTTAATAATTACCTCTAGTTCCACCCATTTTCCTAACTCATGTCATAATTTCATTCTTGATGGCTTAATAAAATTCCATTGTACATATTATCACATTTTCTTCATCTATTGATGGACACTTAGGCTGGTTCCATTTTTGGCTAAAGTGAATATTGCCACAATAAACATGGATGATCAGGAGTCTTTGTAAGGGATTGGCTCAGATTCCTTTGAGTACACCCCCCCCTCCAGTGAGATATCTGAATCACGTGGTAGTTTTAATTTTTTGTATTTTGAGGAACTTATATATTGATTTCTAAAGTAGCTGCATTATTTTAAGTATATAAGATGTATAAGTGATATATAAAAATTTCTGTTTCCTCACATCCTCAGCAACACTTGCTTATTTTTAATTAATAACTGTTGTAATGGGTGAAATTGGGATGCCAGTGTAACTTTTATTTGCCTTTTCTTGGTAGCTGATGACACTGAACAGTTTTTCATCTACTTATTGAGCTTATATACTTCCTCCTTTGAAGAGTGTCTGTTTTTGCCCATTTATCAGTTGGATTATTTGTGATTTTGGTATTTACTTTTTTGAATTCTTTATGTATTATATATGCTAATTCACTGTTAGTTGTGTAACTGGCAAAGATTTTGTCCCATTCTATAGGCTTTCTGCTGTTTTCTTTGCTATGCAAAATATCTGTAACTCCTTCTGTCTTATTTGTAAGTTCTTGTAATAGATTGTTGAGCTTTTGAAGTCTTTTTCGGACAATTTTGCCTATGCCTACATTTTGACAAACTCCTAAGTATACTAAATGTGAAATGCTGAAGCATTTCCTCTAAAGTCATTAACAAGACAAAGCTATTCAAACTGTATAGTGCTTAAAGTCTTGGCCAGGGCAAGAGAAGGAAATACAAGGGATCTTAATAGAAAAGGCAGAAATGGAATCACCTTCATTTGTAAGTGGTGTGATCTTATACCTGTCACCCTAAGGACTCCACCAGAAGATTCTCAGATCTGATAACACTTCCAGCAGGAAGTCAGGAACAGAAAATCAGCATATAAAACTCAAGAGATGTTCCACAAACTAGTAACAGTTGTACAAAGAAATCAGTCACATTTACAATATAAATTTAACAAATCTAATCATGTAATAACTCTAAATTATGAGGATAAAGATCTCTATAATGAAGACTTCCAGATATTAAAGAAGGAAATTGAGCAAGAAAATGTATGATTGAAAGAATTCCCATGCTCGTTAATTGGCTATGTAGCTTTTCCATAGATAAGTGTTTATGCTGAAATATGTTTGTGCACACATCTATACATGTATGTGTGAGAGAGGGGGAGAGAGAGAGAGAGAGAGAGAGAGAGAGAGAGAGAGAGAGAGAGAGAGAGAGAGAACACCTTTTTTAAAATAAAGCCATGTATCCTGGAATGCTGTATAGCTGGGGATGACCTTGAACTTCAGATTCTCTTGCCTTCATGTTTCAAGTGCTAGGATTACAGATAAGAGCCACCATGCCTGCTTGGGGTATATTAATAAGTTATCTAATATTGAGCTTTCCTGTTTTCCCAGAATAAATCTTGAAGTCTTCTGCAGTTCTCAACATCTGTATCTTTTCCTCAGTCACTGAATATTAATGTATTTCTGATTCTTTGTTCAGTATCCTAAGTTGCTTTAAAGCCATTTCACTCATTTTGGTGAAGTTAGCTACCACTGAAATTTCCAATTCTTTATGTTCCTAGTAAAAATATGTTGTAAGATCTTGTTTGTCCAGTTGCCTTTTAGGCATCCGTGCATTTGATGGAAAAAACTTTGGACAAGTATACCTAAGATCAGTTGTAACTCCTGCCCATCGTAGTGATTGCCATTTATCCCTGTGTAGACCAGACTTGCCTCAAATTCAGAGATCCTCCTGCTTCTGCCTCTTAGGTGCTTGGATTAAAGGTGTGCATCACCACCGTTAGCCAGTTTACACTTCTTTATAGGACACTGTTGATGTAATTCTTTGTGTGTACTAGCAGCTCTCTGGTTTTAGAAAGGACAGATAAGACTGCCTATGAAAATGAATGTGTGAGTATATTATGAATGACATTTTTGGAGTTGGGCATGTGTTTAAGTGGAAAGCCAAAACAATATCCACCATGTATACACGTTTACTCCCTCAGTCACTCATCACCAAGCTAGTGAGTAGGCAAGATGCTTTGTAGGTTTTTCATCTTTAAGAAAGAGCACCTGTAAGGTACATCTCACAGAAGAGATGCTTGTGAAGAGGAGTGACCTCCTATATTCCTGTCTCTGACCCGAGGCTGAAGGTGGCTTGGACTGAGAAAGGTTGTTTCATTACAGGGGTTGGTGACATTTGAGGATGTCTGTGTGGACTTCACCTGGGATGAGTGGCAGGACCTGGATGATGCTCAGAGGAAGCTCTACAGGGACGTGATGCTGGAGACCTACAGCAGCCTGGAGTCCTTGAGTGAGTAAAAGGCTACATCCTATTAGAAGCTCATTCCTTTTTCATAAATACAGGAGCCCTTCAAAGGATGCTGATTGTTGGTTTTGGTTGTTTTGGGTTTTTGTTTGTTTGTTTGTTTGTTTTGCTGTGCTAATGGCCAAACCTAGCACATGCTAGGCAGCCACCCTACCACCTAGCTTTCTACACAGTTACTGTACATATTTATAATGAAAGCTGTCGTTTCAATACTTGTATACTCTACATAATGATCAGTATTTTATAAGTCTATAAACTTAGATTTGTCATGTCTTTCCATTGAGAGCATTTAAAATCCTCCTCCTCGTTTGCTTTCTATTTATTTAATGTGTATGAATATTTTGTATGATTGCACCAGTGCATGCCTGGCGCCCAATGAGATCAGAAGATGATGCTGGGTCCTCTGGAACTGGAATTATGGGTAGTTGGGAACTGCTATGTGGGTGATGGGGACCAAATCCAAGTCCTCTACAAGAAAAGCAAGTGCTCTTACCCACTGAGCCGTTTGTCAAACCCCTAAGTCACCCCCTCTTACTTTCAAGTAATTATGTGTTAAAAGCTGTGCGAGTTATGTGTCCCATAAAACTGTTCCCCTGCATCTATGAACTATCTTCTCTCCCTCCCTCCTTCCTACAAATCATTCCTAGGCTCTGGTAGCCAATGTTCTTTCTTTGTGTTTCAGGTTAACATTAGTTTACTGCCTTAACTGTGAATATGTAATGTTTCTTTTAGCTTGACCTCCCTCACTTAATACAAGTATCTTTCAGTTATTTCCATGGTCTGGTGAGAGAAAATTCAGGGCTGTGTCTGTAGCTAGATGAGTTCATCATCCCCTCTGTATTTAGAGCCTTTTCTTATCAGTTCATCTGTGGGTGGACACGAAAGTAGATCCTGTATAATCTCTCCTGTATATGATGCTGCAGTAACTGTGCACAGAGGGTTCTCTTTGAAAAACCAAGTTGATATCCTCTGGATGTGTGCGTTCCAGGGGTTGTACTGTGTTTTGTGGCAGCTCATTTTCCAGGATTTTAGTAAGCACCAATTTGTTTTTCATAGTGCCTGTTAATTATGTTTCTAGCAACACAGACTTTTCCTTTTCTGTGCATCCTCACTAGCGTTTGTAATGTCATATATTGCTAATCATTGTAGTGTGGTACAGTGAGATCTTTTAACTCTCTCATTTGTTAGCTTTTCAGAACTAAAGTTTTAAATTTTTATATAATACTGTTTTTATTTTCTTTTTTTTTTCTTCTTGTATGTGTATGGGTTTATGCATGTGAGTGCAGGAGCTGTGGAGGCCAGAAGAGGGCTTCTCCCCTGGACCTGGAGTCACAGGTAATTGTGAGCCTCCTTCCGTGGGTGCTGGGAACTGAACTGAGTTCTTCTGCAAGCTCAGTAAGTGCTTGTAAACACTGAGCCATCTCTCCTGCCCCAATAATTTTGGTTTTCAGTGCTGCTTTTGTCAACTGTGCTTTAGGTGTCAGATTTAAAAAGTTCACCTTTGTCTAAATTTGTATCCTTTTGTGTTTTCCAGTATTTGTTTTGTAATTTCAAGGTCTACATGGAAATCTCATTCTTACCTCTGTGTATAGTTAAGAGGCAGGTTTAACACCTTTCTCCATCACAAGGTTATCCAGCTTCACAGACATTGAGATCTTCCTTCTAAACATTTGTTCCTGTTGCCTTATGTGAGGATTGCTTGGCTGTGAACCTGTACATTTGCTTTTAGTTTTTCTGTTACCCTGTTTTATTCTCTGTGCTTTTCTTCCTGCCTGTGGAAGTTGTTTTAGTAACTGTCTCTTTCAAGTATGTTTTGAGGTTAGGGTTTTGGGTTTTTTTTTAAATTATCTATTTTGTTCTTTTTGTTTGTTTGCATTTTGTTTTTAGAGACAAGGCCTCTCTGTGTAGCCCTGGCTGTTCTGGAACTTGCTCTGTAGACCAGGCCTTGAACCCAGATATCCACCTGCCTCTGCCTCCCAAATGCTGCGATTAAAGGTGTGTGCCACCACAACCAACTTTTTATTCCTTTGATAAAAACTTATAACTTCCAGAATGTCATTGGTATTGATTACCTTGTATGTGAATTACTTGTGTAGTACTAGCACAGATATGGTGAATCGAACTTTCCCTGTGGTCCTTGGTAGGTGTTGTGTTAAGCACCATGGACTCTTTGTAAGCACTGTTGATGTTAATGATAAGTTCTTTAAGTTACAGTGAGCACTCTTGAATGTCTTTTAAAGAAACAAATACTTTTGAGAATCCCTTAGTTTGGCTGACTTGCTGCCCTGTTGCCTTGAGCAAAAGGAATCCCAGCTGATATCATCTAACTCTGCTTAGGGTAGTACCAGCTGCTTTAACAGTCCCAGGGCATTTTGAGGAAACTACAGCTGTGTGCTCTCACTCCTGAAGATGCAGAACAGGCCAGCACAGTTTCAAAGTTTCTAACTGACTTTTACTCTCGGGTTTTGGTGACTTCTGGGTGACTCTGCAGTCATGTCCTCATAGGAGTCAGGAGGGGAACGTGTTCCTTGTAGCCTGAAAGAGAAATGGTTGTGACTGATTTAAAGTAAATGATGCTCTGACTGGTACAGACAATCCTCATTTACATGTGTGGCTTCCTGTTTATATACAAAGCCCTCTGTCTGTCTATAGACATGGACTGTTCATCTCACTTGGAGAGCTGACTGGGAGATGCCCTTCTGTGCAGTGTCCCTGGTGTTCCAAGAAAAGGCTTCTCTCCAGTCGGCTCTTCTTACCTGATTCTAGTGGAGTAAGCAGATCTGCTGATACCAAGAGTAGAGTAGCAGAGACTAGAATGGAATCCACAAAGATGATTTCATCTTTAAAAATTAACTCTTATTGTTGATGCTCTATTGCTGTTTTCTTTGTATTAAATTCTTCTTTCTCTTTCTTTTTTTTTTTTTTTTTTTTTTACAATTACCACTATAGAAGTCATGTGGCCTTAGATTTTACTTACTGGCAACAATAATAAAGGCAACAATACATACAGCAATAACTTGGAATAAAATTGACATTTGTTACGTTTTTTCTATACATAAATGATCTCATTAAATCTTATATAAAAACTCAGAAGTAGTTGCTGTAATAAGTCCCACTTTATGAAGAAGAAATGGAAGTACCAAGGGAATTAAGTGATCTACCCAAGTTCACACAGCTATAGAATGACAGAGACAGGATTTTAGGACAGTCAGCCTGTCTCCATCCACATCCACCTATCCTTTTGTTCTGGTGACTAATGAGTTTACAGTGCCAATGGGGACATGTTCAAATAGGATGTATTCAGGTAACACGTGGGAGGATGGGGCAGAAGGATTAAATAAAGGCTAAGTCAATGGCCTTGACTTCATTGAGTCTGTGCTTCCATGGGTAAATGAGCCTCGAAGACTTGGTGTCTCAGAAACCCCCGAAATGATGAAAGCTTTGCCTCTGAGTTAAAGGCTGTTTGTTGACCTGGAAAATAAGAGGCATTAAGAGGTCTTCTGTTGGTGTGGGATGGAGTAGATTCATAGACTAGAGGCCAAGAACATCCGCGTGACAACCTGTGCCTGTTAGGCTCAGTAAAAACAAGAGCAGTTCTTGCTATTCAACCTGTGTGTGGGGGAGGGGAATGTTTTCACCTTTTTTTGTTTTTGTTTTTTGTTGTTTGTTTGGGTTTTTTTGTTTGTTTTGTTTTATGAGACAGGGTTTCTCTGTATTGCTTTGGAGGCTGTCAGTCCAGCCTGGCCTCGAACTCACAGAGATCCGCCTGCCTCTGCCTCCCCAGTGCTGGGATTAAAGGCATGAGCCACCACCGCCCGGCTGTTTTCACCTTTTAAAACAAAACAATTCTTCTCCACATTCATTTAAATCCTGTAGAAATAATGATGCAATATTCACAAACTTTTTCCCCATTGTTACCAGCCTCTGGGAATTCTAGATGTTGTCCTGTACTCCCCAAAATTGTTTTCAATCCGATGCCCATCCCCAAGTCCATTGATCATGGAACAATTTGAACTTTCCAGCACTGCATCATCTGACTTTTCCATTTTTCTCACGTGAGAAAAATGTATTCAATTCTTCTACATTGTTTTTCTCCTTATCTCCTGATTTCCTCTGCTTCTTGTGTTGGTTTTGGAGAGGCATGGGAGAAGACGGGTTCAGAGCTCACTGCTTCCGAACATCTGATCTTACCACTCCTGCAGCATCTGGCTGAGGAGCTATAGAGTTTTGTTGATCCCATGCATTTTTAAATTTTTTACTTGCTGTTTTTTTCCCCTTGATCCAAGTGGTGTGTCAGAATAATCCTTTTATTCTGTATGTATTTCTTTTATTTTAATGTCCTCAGTGTTAGTGTTCTCCTAGAGTGTACATATTAAACAATATTTCCTTTTAATAGACCAGTGTGATGCCAAACCTGAGTTGATCCTGAAGTTGGAGCAAGGAGCTGAGCCATGGAAGGAAGAAGATGTCCCAAACCAGAGCCTCCCAGGTCAGTGAATATGCCGGAGACTAGTGAACACTAATCAAATGGGAGGTGTGTGAAGTTCTTTTTACTCAATTTTGCCGTCTTCCATCTTGAGACTAACTTCTTAATCAGCTGCTTGCTGTGTTGTGTCCAAGGGAGGCCTCACTCCCAAGTGGACCCTCCTTTCCTGTTCTTGCTCTGTATTTTTGTAGACCTAGCAAATCCTGCTCACTCTCCGTAAACATTTCATTAAGTAGTTACTCTAAATCCCGTTGTTTTTATATGATGCTTCATTTTAAGAATCTATTCATGTGTTTACTAATGCATTCATCACTTTTTATTTGATTCATCATAGACAAGGGTCTAGACCTATGTGGGACCAACAGTGGTGATCCAACAAATTTACCTTGTTTAAAGAGCTTCTGCTGTGTTGAGACACAGAACTCTTTGACATTGAAAGAAAGACCACAAGAATATGTTTTCTTAGCTGGATAAATGAATGTAAAAATACAGGTTGTTTCTAAGGCAAAGCAGTTTTAAGGAGATTGTTTTAAAATTAATATCAGATTAATTTTGAGACTTCAAAATGTGGTGCATAGTTCATAAGTTGATAAGGACTTTAGTCTTCAGAGTGGTTATGATTTCACTACAGGTTCCAAAGTGGCATTGGAAGTTCTAAGTTAATATTGAAAACATAGGTTTCAGGCACTCACCTGTAGAATTCAAATATGAGAAAAGATATCCAAAATCAAATAGTGCATACCAATATACCAGAATTTATGTAATTCAAGGAGCATCTGCAAATAGTCCTGGTAGGGTAGCCCCAGGGTGTGGTACGCCATCCAGGGGATCTTAGTCATGAAGGCCAGATGAGCCAAGGCTCTGTTGAAAGGCTCCTAATTGATGTGAAAATTATAATATCTTGTTAGCCCTGGACCATTTTCATTGTGGAACTCACTCTAAGTCAACAGATTTGTCAGCATTTGCTATGAAATTTTAACCCAGTGGAAGCTCTGCAAGAGCAGTAAGTGCTGTCAGCCTCTGAGCCATTCTCCAGGCCCTGTTTTGTAATCTTACATCCGTGTGTGTGTGTGTGTGTGTGTGTGTGTGTGTGTGTGTGTGTGTGTGTGTGTAGGGGGAATTCTTCACTTTTGTGTTAGAATTCTATCAAAATGACTTCTGTGCTGTTCATATAGAGCAACTTTTATTTCCTTTCAGCTGTGGAGAATGTGAAGAGCCTGAACAACACCAGTTGGGACAATCAAAAGAGATATTTGAACCACCTGGTAATCACTGGCAACTCATCAACTGAGGAGCGGGTCAAATTTGGGAAAATATTTAATATGAGTTCAAACCATGTTTTACGCCTGGCTAATAAGAATAGTAACTCTTCCAAAATGAGATCTGAGGTGCTTGATATATGGGAAAGTGTGTATCTCCCTGGTGAGCACAGTGAGATGCAGCCTGTAGAGGAACTTGATCATACCACAACCAGGATGTCATGCGGACCTCCTGAGCCTTTTAGTCTGGATCACAGTGTTGAAAGCGGGCAACAGCACTTTCAGTGTAGTCACCATGAAGCCTTCAACGTGAACACTGTATGGACACATAAGGTGTTTCCTCTGGGAGATAATTTGAGTAAGTTAAAGGAATGTAAGTTGACTCTTAGTGCCCAAGGGACTCACATAAGGGAAGAAACTTTTGACTGCAGCTTCTGTAAGAAATCATTCTCTGACAAGTGTAATCATACTCAGCATGTGAAAACACGCATAAAGAGCAAATGTGATAAACATTCTGATTGTGAACCAACATGTAATACAAAACCAGGCCTTATAAATCTTCAGAGCACTCTGCATGCGTGGGAAAAGCCCTGTGTGTGTAATAACAATGAGAAATGTGTGTGCCGGACGCCAAAGCAGAGGGTTACTCAGAGTGTCTTCTCAAGTAAAGAGAGTCATTGTGCGAAAAAAATCAGTGTGCACCAGAGACCTCACGCAGGTAGAAAACCCCATGAATGCAATACATCTGCAAAAATCAACAAGCAACCTCGTAGACGGCACAGATGTGGGAGAACCTATCAGTGCAAGGTATGCGGGAAAGCCTTTAAACACACACAAAACCTCTACTTACACTACAGAACTCACACTGGTGAGAAGCCGTATGAGTGTAAAGAGTGTAAGAAATTGTTCAGTGTGAAGTCAAATCTCAGTGTACATCAGAAAACTCACACAGGAGAGAAACCCTATGAGTGTAACATATGTGGAAATGCCTTTAAAAGGAGGTGTGACCTAACTGTCCATCAGAGAGTTCACACAGGGGAGAAGCCCTACGAGTGTAAAGAATGCAGGAAAACCTTCAGTATAAAGTCAGGGCTCATTGTACATCAGAGAATTCACACAGGCGAGAAACCATATGAATGTAATGTATGTGGAAAACGTTTTAACCAGAAGTCAAATCTCTCTACACATGAGAAAATTCACACAGGTGAGAAACCCTTTGAATGTAAAGAATGTAGGAAATCATTTAGTGTCAAGTCGTATCTCACCATACATCAAAAAACTCACTTGGGTGAGAAAGCTCATGCATGAAATCTGGGGAAGCCTTCTGTCAGAAGACAAACCTCCACAGGCAGCATAGAGCTTACCCAGGTGAGGAACCTACGAACATAAAGAATGTAGGCAAAGTTTAAGTCACTTGTCACCTTTCCCTGAACCTTGGGTGAAGATTCCTGTAAAGGTTGCAGGGAATCTGTCAGCCCTAAGTCAAATTTCATTAATTAGTGGACCCAAAACATAAGAGACCTACCAGTGTGGGGTGTGTTCAGAGACTTCTGCCAGATGTCAGACTTTGGTTGTTAGAGAACTCTACAGGTAAGAAACCTTCTGGCTGTAAGATCTGGAAAGAGTCATTCTTCACAAGCCTGGAACATTCATACTGATGAGGAACCCTGTGAATGTAGCTATGTGCAAGGTCTTTTAGTCAGTAATCCCATCGCTGAATTTGAATTCACACAGATAAGAAGATCTGTGAGTACAAAGAGTGTAGGAAAGCATTTCAGACATTTGTCATCTCTCCATGTATCACAGAACTCAGAGTTGAGAGATGCTTATCAGTGCAATCTATAGAACGGTCACCTGCCAGATGTTGAACCTACATACACAGTAGAGAAACCTCACAGTTGAGAGGCCTTCTGAATGCCAACAAATGTACAGCAGAGTACTTGAAAACGGAAAGGGAAGGAGGTCTCGATAGCAGGTACAACTCACTGCACAGCACACACACACAGCTGAGTGACTGTTTGAATTCAGTGTACGTGGAGAAACCTGTCCCCAGATTTCAGGTCTCGGCAACCATTAGGTGAGGAGCCCTCTGAATGTAAATCATCCTTCACTGCAAACCAAAGAAGACAAGTAGGATAAGCCATATCAATTTAATATGTGCAAAAACTTAGTTCTATAAGATAGACATCTGCCTCCACTAGAGACCCACACAAACACAAAACCCTGCGAGTATAAAAACTGAAAAAAAAACTGAATTTAAAGAATGTAAAAAGTATCTCTTATTTTTGGGGTATGTGCAAGAACTGGCATAGGTAACCATGATCCCACCAGGTAAGTATAACAGACATTTGTGTGCATCAGAAAACCCTTCACTGCAGTGGAACCACAAGACTTACAAATTCAAACACTCTGGAAAGCTTGCGGACTGGAAGTACATGAATGTAATGTGTGTAGCCAACCTGTTTATGGGAAGTTGACCTCCACATTGGAGAATTCATCAGAGGGAATGCTGTTAACCTGTGGGAAAGCATATCTAGAATGGTTATGGATATGGAAAATGTCCTTGTGAGAAGTCCTGTAAGCAGAGTTCTCGTGTGCTAAGATTTACCTTTTCTTTTGCTCTAAGATTGGCAGCCTATATGTGTAGTGTTATGAAGACAACATGGCCAGAGCTCTGTAGGAACTTTAACATTGGTCATGACTTTTCTTTCCCGCCTCAACCCCCAGTTCCTGCAATGTATTATCCATGGATTTGTGCTCATGGCCTAAAAGCAGATATGATTGTCTTTGGAGAGAAGGAGGGATAGAGAATGACACTGATTTATAGACATGCTTTATTAGAGAGGGCAGAGGCTTTATGTGTGTTTATAAATCTCTTCTTTGTATAAGTGATATAACCTTTTTGAAAGATAATGCAAAATCATTGGGCCCCGTTTTAAAAGTATTTCAGACAGGGGGCCTTTCATGCTAGAAAATTCACCCAACAGAGGGCCCTTCTTGTCACCTTTGTATTTTCAAGCCATTTTGTGGAGAAAAAGAAACATGAAATTTCAATAAATTCTCAATGCCTTACCTGGCAGCAGCATTTCATTTATGAGATACTAAAGTATGTTTCATATGTGAAACATATGTATATCCATAAAACATTAAAATTCATGTATATCAGAAGTCATTCATAAAAATTGTCAGTTTCTTTTTTTTTTTTTTTTTTTTTGGTTTTTCGAGACAGGGTTTCTCTGTGGCTTTAGAGGCTGTCCTGGAACTCGCTTGGTAGTCCAGGCTGGTCTCAAACTCACAGAGATCCACCTGCCTCTGCCTCCCGAGTGCTGGGATTAAAGGCGTGCGCCACCAACGCCCGGCCCAAAAATTGTCAGTTTCTAAGAAGTGTTATAGTATTAAAATTATTTTTGAACTAGGTGTGGTGGCATATGTCTTAAATTCCAGATCCCAGAAGACAGAGCAGTCAGATGCATACGAGTTTGAGGCCAGCCTGATCTACACAGAGTTTTCCAGGCCAGCAGGGCTACACAGTGAAACCCTATCTTTAAAAAAAAATTGTTGAATATGCCAGATGATAAATATTTATGATGGTACCTGATGCAGTGGTTTGGTCTACATTTGAGAGCATTTGTGTTTGTCACACCAAAGTTTGAGAGATGCAGCTGACACTAGTGGGTATCAGGGATGCATTTGAACTCCCTGAGGACTCTGTTGTCATTTTCCTGAGGAGGCATGAACAGAGATATGTACTCAGCCCAGATAGGGCACTGACAACAGACCAAATGAACATTTCTGTCAAACTCCAATCTGGTGAATCCAGTGAGTTTGTTGAGGTTACAGGAGTATGGGTGAGAGGTTGCCTAACAGGAACAGGAATGATTCCACAGCTGCATCACTGAAAAGCCCACCCCAATGGGGATGACTTGTGAAAACTGAAACGCTTTCAGGAAACAAAGTAGGCCACATATATATATCAGGTGAGAGAGTCTCCTCCCTCCCCAGCAGCCCTTTCTGTTTTTATAAACTTGGAAAAGGAATGGGCCTTGTGCATCTTACACATTTTGGAGGGCTTCAAAGTCTTTAGGGGTATATATACATATCCTAGTCATAATGAGCCTTCCTCCAGGGTAGGAATGTTTTAATTCAGAAGGTACTGATACACATTAGGCACAATATCCTGACATATGTAAGGTTTGTGTGTGTGATTTTATCACATTAGCAGATGTTCACTGTATGCAGGAACATGCAGGAAATACACTTATTGTAATGTCTATTGTGATTTCATTAGAGTTGTCTACGTTAAATACTATCCTAGCCTGTTTACATCTTGTAAGCTTCTAGTTTGTATTTTCTTATAACATATAAGTGTATATGGTGAGTGTCACCAACTATCTGCCAAGTATTGACATTTGTGTTTTTCTAATATGGTGATGTCCTAGAGTGAGCCAGTGTTTCTAAGAGAGTAAGTATCAGGGTAGAAAAACATGAATAAAGATATTTTTCACAGCTATCTTGTGAACTGATTTAGATCTTTGTGAACAAATGGTACTTTCTTCCTCTCTGCTGAGAAAAATAGTCTTGGAATAAGTTCCTTTTCATTATTTTTCCCATGCCTTAAAATTTGGAGACTAGACCAGTGTTTTACAGATGAAATTTGTTGCACATAAAATCTGAATGACTTAAGACAGAAACTCATGCGGTGGGATGGAGAAATGACTCATTCAGCAAAGTGCTTTCATTACATGGTTAGATCCTCATCTGATAGAAGATCCCAGCAATGGTCAGGTCTCCCGGTAATCCTATTGCTGAGGTGGCCGAGAAGAGGATTACCAGAGACTATTAGGCAGCTACTTTTGTTCAGTCAGTGAGCCCACGGCTCAGTGAAAGATCATATCACATGTGCATGATTATTTTTGGTATCCATGATAGAAATAAGATACCACAACCCAAAGTGACTGATGGAAGAATTTATTTTGACTTAGAATTCCAGAGAGTTACGGCAGCAGGAGTGGAAAGCTGAGAGATCATGTCTCAACAAATACTAAGCAGAGTGAGTAGCTGGAAGTGGGATGAGCCTATGAAATCTCAAAGCCTGCCCCTAGTGACATCTTCGAGAAAAGCCACACATCCTAAACCTCCCCAAACAGTGCTACCAATTGGAGACCAAGTGTTCCAATGCCTGAATGTATGGGGACATCTTATTCAAACCCCAGTTCCCATAGGCTCATAGCCATATCACAATGCAAAATGTGTTTAGTCTAACTCCAAAGCCCCTACTGTTTTAACATTGTTTCAAAGTCTCTTCAGAGACTTCTGGAACTTTTAAAATGGCAACTCCTTATAAAATCAAAAAGCAAATTACATACTTACAACATACAATGGTGCAGAATATACATTGCCACTCCCAAAAGAGAGTAATAGGGCCATAGTGAGAAGATACTGGACCAAAGCAACTGAAACCCAGCAAGGCAAACTCCAAATCCTGTAGCTCAGTGTCTGGTATTTTTAGTTTCCAAAGGCTGGGATGGCTCTGCCTTTCCAGCTTTGCTGCCTGAAACATCCTTCTTTGGGGCTGGTTCCACTCCCTGTATATGGTTCTCCTAGGTAGATAATCCCATGGCCCTGGTATCTCCAACATCTTGGGGTTTCCACCAAAACCCAGATTCATTTCCATAGCTTCACACATTGGCCTCTCAGGGTCTCTTTCTCTCTCAGAGTCATCACTCAAGGACTACCTGCCTGCGGCTTTCTGAAACCACAGAAGAAGAATCCTTAACCCCTGAACTCATGCATCCTTCGCTCCTCTAAAGCCAACACACGATGTGGATGACACTACCAAGCTCAACTAGCATCTTAGAGTGGACTCTGCCCCCTTAAACCACATTAGCATCAGTTCCTGTATTCAGTTGCTTTCTAGGAGCATAAAACTTTTACACCTTTTCCTTTCCAAAGCTGGAAGCTTATCTGGGTGGGATCTTGCTCTAGAGGAACCCTTCCCTTTGTTCTAGTGCAGAAAGGGTGCTAATTATTAAGGTCTCATTAAGGGTGCTAATCTTTTCAACATTTATAGCCTGTCTTCTAGCACAAGCACAGTAGGACTGCATAAGCATTATCAGTAACAACCATGCCACAATTTCAACCAAAAACCATTGCTTTTTTGATTTGCCCTCAATCAAGTCCTTAGGACTTCCTCAGAAGGCAGCCAGATTCTTTACCAAAATATCTCATGAATGGCCTCTAGTCAAGTTTCTAATATTGTTCCCTTCTGAAACTTTTTGAGTCTCCACATTCTGCATTGTTCTCATCACTACTGTATCCCAAGCTCCTACTACAATGGCCCTGTAAGCTCTGCTTATAGCATTCAACAACTTTTCTAGTCTGAAATTTCAAGGCCTTCTACATTCTTCCAAAAAGCAACATGTTCATATGTAGCAAGTCTTTCTCTGTACTGCCAGCTACCAAATAATGACACAGACACTTATTATGGCTTGTTACTTCATCTCTCCATATTGCTTGTGCTGCTTTCTCCATATCTGGCTGGCAACCCTGCCTTTCTTCCTCTCTGAGTCTTCTTTGTCCCCAGAGGTCCCACCTAACCTCTTCCTGCCCAGCTATTAGCCATTCAGCTCTTTCTTAAACTAATCACAGTGACATATCTTCACACAGTGTAAAGGAATATTCTGTAACATTCAGGTCCTCCAGCAGTACCCCACTCCTAGTACCAACTTATGTGTTTGTTATTTTTCTGTTACTGTGATGAAATACCATGACCTGAAGTGACTCTTGGTAGAATCTTAGTTTACAATTCCAGAGGGATAAGAGTCCATCATTGTGGGTGAGCATGGCAGGAGGAGCAGGAAACCTGACAGATCACATCTCAACTACAAGCACAAATCAGAGAGCAAAGCAAAAGTGAAACACAACTGTAAAATATGTAAGCAAACTCAATAAACTCATTGGTTCCTTAAGTTGGACTATAATATAATGTAATTTTTTTCAGTCTGTCATTGGTGCCTTATCTGGGTTTCATAGATGTTTGAACATCCCCAAAAAGAGCCTTGCTGACGTGTCAGAGGACGGTGAGTTATCTCTTCTGCTTGTGTTGGGAAAGGACCATGACAAGAGCCTGTTTGCTGCATCTAGATTGATAGATCTCTGCTCTGGCCTGTATAATAACGTCTCTAGGTCTGAAACCAGATTTCAATTCTACCTGTTTTTCCATTTCTACACTGGTAGCTGTTCTAGCAAATGGATTATTCTCAAAAGTATGAAGGATAGGATTGGTTTGTGCCACCTTAATGGGCCCTAACTGACTATATGAGCTGCCTTGCTGTCTCATTTTCATACCAGTTTAGTACTCTAGACTCTGGCATTCATCTTTGTCAAACACTTCTCTGCTAACTTCATCAGGGTTGGGGTTTTGCTAGGCCTGGCTCAGAGGGCATCTCCCTGACTTAGGTTCTCATGAGAACCACTTGAGCAAGTGCTCAGGTCCGTAATGGGAAGAACTGCTTGAATTCCAGAAAGATGGATGGACAACTGGGTTCCTCAGAGATTGTGGTACAACTCACTAGAACCCAGAATGATCTATCATCTCAAAGACCTTCTGAATTTAATCCAGTAAGTACTTAAGATGTCAAATGATTTAGAGGAAGCCAGAGGGAGTTGAAGTTTTGTGGTTAGGCTGAAAAATAATTTTTGTTGTCAGAGAAAGTATTTTCCAACTTCAAGATTGATGAAGCATGAAGAGTAGTGGAGGGAGGACAAGAGAGGCAACAATCTGAGCACTGTTTCTGCATTTAAAGAAAAAACATAGGTAACTCTTAAGTTGGTTATGTGTTATCTTAGTTCTCTAAATACTGGGTGAGTTTGAACTACTTTCTGCAAACAATTCTACATGTCTATATGCTGTCTAGAAGCTTTTTGAAATTTCAGTATTAAGGAAATAAAAGGCAATCTATTTATGCCAGGAATATGGAGACATTTTGCTTTCTCTTTCACAAAGTTTTGGAAGGGCATGGGGGCACTTGACTCCTAATGGGCTGTTACAGGGTTTGCAATTAGCAACTTCATTTGTGAGAACAAAGTTGTGTAAGTGTCAAAAAAAGCTTGCTATGTATTGCCAAAGTATATTAGGAGTGTGAATGAACTCAGTTACACTTACTATGTGCTGCAGGGGTTGGGCCTGACCCAGGTGAGGTCTCCGGTCTCCTCCTCTTTACAGTGAGTTCTCTGATGGATAGTGAGGGATGACTTATGGTAGAAAGTCTTCTTACATTCTTTACATCCAAAGGGTTTCTCACCTGTGTGAATTCTCTGGTGCCTGTTGAGGTGTGACTTCCGGTAAAATGATTTCCCACATAGATGACATTCATAGGGTTTATAACCTGTACGAGTTCTCTGATACCTCCTGAGATTTGGCTTCTCGTTCAAGCTTTTTTCAGATTGATACATTTCATACAGTTTTGTTCCTCTGGGAACTCTCTGACATACATTTTGCTGTTTTTTCTGATGAAAAAATTTCTCACATTGTCTACATCTGTAGGATCTGAGTCCTGCATGTATTACCTGTTTTTTGTGGTATGACATCTTACTGAAGGTTTTCTCACAATCACTACACTTGTAATACTTCTGTATTTTGTGTATTTCTTATGTTTAGTGAGCTTAAACTTTGAACAGAATGTTTTCTTACAAATATTACATTCAAAAGTTTCTTCCCTTACCCAAGTCCTCTCTTGGGCATTAGGAGCTACCTCACCAGATGCTTTCCCAGACTCACCTGGCAAACTAGGTTTAGGTGTGGGCTGTTTGCTGTAACTCCACAGAAACTATTATCAGAATCAGCTTTTTTAGTCACTTTGAAATTGAGTTAGAGAACCAGCATCAATGCACATAAAATGCCAACTGCCTAGGAAAGTGAATCTTGAACAAAGAGTGAGGAAATGATAGGGATACAGTAACCACTGAACTGGGCCAAAGTTGCATTCACATCTTTTTTTTTTTTTTTGAAGTTGCATCTGAATAACTATTCCAAATACACAAAGAATGTCACCCCTACAGAGACAGGACAGCTAATCATGTGTGACCTGGTAGTGCTAATGGAGCATCAGGATGTCAACTCTACATCAGCTGTCCTCATCTTATCAATATTAATTTTAACAAAGCAAGATTTTATTAATTTTAATTATGGAGAGTTCAATCTCTAAAAATGCTATTGGTAGCCAGGCAGTGGTGGTGCACACCTTTCATCCCAGCATGCGGGAGGCAAAGGCAGGTGGATCTCTTAGTTTGAGGCCATTCTGGTCTACAGTTTCAGAACAGCCAAGACTGCATAGATAATCCTGTCCAAAAAAAAAAAAAAAAAAAGGTTACCGATGGACAGCCATCCTCCACAACACAAGTCTCCATCATACCTTAGCAGACTGAGCAAGCCATGGTGAGCAAGCCAATAAGCAGCAATCCCTTCATGGTCTGTTTCAGTTACTGCCCTGACTACCTTAGTCATAGACT